ACTGTATATTTATAAAAGACAATCTTTTGTCATTGTTTTATTTAATTTAAGGATTAATAATTTGGAGAATAATTCAGTTAAAAGACTGCAAAGTGTCTGCTCAGTAAACTTTGAATTAAAAGATTTCTTTTTGTCAAAGAAAAACAGTTCATGATTGGAGGGAGCTTTATTAATTTGTAAAGAAATTTAAGCAATTAGAATGAAATTATTAGGTACACCTCTTTTGTTTCTGCCGTGTCTAAGAATTTTGCTTTTGCTTTGGTGTACGTTTACTTGGGGTCGTTTCCCTTGTCCCTGCTAGGGACGGCAATTTTCTAGCCGTGAACAATATCTTGAAAATAAGCTCCAGAAGACTCCCCTCTTTTGTCTGCTCCTCACTTTTGTCATATTGGCTATCGGAAGAAAAACTTTGAAAAGGATACCCTTATTGTGGTTTTTATTATGAGTCTTAGGGAATAATTTAAACAATATTAACATGTGACTCATGTTTATTATATTTTTCTACAGGATCCCACGTTGCGTACCAAACAGCCTATTCCAGCTGCCTACAACAGATACGACCAGGAAAGGTTCAAAGGAAAAGAAGGCAAGTTACTCACTTTTTATCTTCCCCTCACCATGGTTGCGCGGAGCTTGAGAGGCAGGAGCAGGGGTTGGCAAACTAAAGTCTGCAGGCCGTGTCTGTACCACTTTGTGTCCCTGTGAATAAGTTTTGTTGGAACACTCACTCATTTTGTATTATCTGTGGCTCTCTTAGTGCTGTGACAGTAGTATTGAATTATGACAGAGATTGTGTGTCCTGCAAAGCCTGAAGATACTATCTGGCATTTTACAGAGTAATTTCAATAAGTTACTTTAACTGCAGTCTGTCTCAATTTCCTCCTGTGTGTCATTGCAATGCTAATAGTGTTGGTAGTGGTCCCTGCCTCCCAGGGTCAATGTGGGGATTAAACTAGTTGTTTAATATAAAGTCCCTAGGAATAGTAACTGGTGTATCATAAGCTATCTATAAATCTATATCTATAAATATTTGCTATTATTAACCTCAATTCTTTTTCTCAGAAATTTATCTTAGAGGGTAAACTCTACATACCAAATCATATTTCCCCAGTTATAAATTTATACATTGAGAATTTGGGAAGCATAGATTGGAGTAACCGTGTGAGGACTTATTTGGTGATGGCTGTGTGATAGACTGGTTAATTCGGTAGGGAACCATTTCCTCATTAGTGAGGTGGTTAGAGGGTAGGACTAATGTCAGTATAATTTCTCTTGGAATCTTCATTTGTCTTGACTTTTTTAATGAAAAAATGAGATAGAAGCAACTAGAAGTTTAACATTTACAATTTTTTTCCTGCATAATCTGAAATCTCCATTTAAGTTTATTAAAGGATATGCCCTTGATGTAGTGAATCTTGTGTGCTGGTCTCATTTACTGGATAAAGGCATGTACTGAATACATGCCATAGAAAGACAGTCGTCCATTCTTTTATCCACTACAGTGTTTCTCATTTGGAATGAATTACGTCAGTATGGGTTGGTAATTACAGCCCCCAGACCAAATCTGATTTTCCTTGGGCCACATCAGGCTGCATGTGCTCACCCTGCTCTGGCACCGCAGCTGCAAAACCTAGGAGTTGTGGCAGGGACTGTATGGCTTGCAGTGTGTGAAATATTTAATATCTGACCCGTCACAGGAAGGTATATTGGGATTCTGTCCTGGAACCCCGTCCCTATTTACAACATTGCTTTTCTACGAATTCTATAACATATGCCTATGATTATAATTTTGGAACACAGATTTTTATAAGTGAAGGAGTTCTTATGATATTACATGCTTTTAAAAGGTGCTGTCATTGAATATTAGGCATAAATAATTTGGGGGTTATAAAGTATCTTATTCAGTCTAAATTTTGATATTTCCAGCCAACTCTATGACTGTTGAACACAGTTGTAGAGGTAGTCCTAACTAGCTTGTACACATTGGGCTTGTTGTGTGTATTAAATGTATTTTTGAGACTAATATTCCTTTTAAAGTTTTTATCTTCACAAGTATGTGATGTAACTTTATACGTATAGATTGAAGGCTTTGTTATCCTGTTGAACTGTCAGATATAATGTGGATTACTACTTTAGATTTATTGTTTATCATGAAATATATAAAATCTAATAGTTAACTCCCTCTCTTTATAGAAACGGAAGGCTTCAAAATTGACACCATGGGCACCTACCATGGAATGACACTGAAGTCTGTGACGGTAAGTTCCTTGGACTGCGGAGGTTCTTTTGTTCCAGGCATTTTGTGTAAGTAGCAGATGTTGAAGGACATCTTTGTTCTCTAATATTTTCTGTTTTAAACATTTATCTTTAATGACCAGCTGTGCTGACAGGTCTGTGCGGTGATTATTGATTCATGGGTGTCTTTTTTTTAAACTGAATTGAGTGTGTGTAAATAAAAGCTGTTCTGATTAACTTGCAAGTAGGTAGGATGCCACCTGGTTAGAGTTCTCAAGTCAGTGAGAAGTAACGAGGTCCAGTTTGGGAGAATTCTTTGCCATAATATCTCATGTTCTTTAAAATATAATGCTTTACTCTCTAAGAAGACGGATTTTGGTGGTTGAAGTAATGCTACAAAGTGCTTTCTTGTCAAAACCAAATACTTGATGTCCATGATTATAAGCCTTTGGTTCCCTTTTAGCAAACTTTCTTTTTTATTTTTTAATCTCCTGAAGATAATTATCTCTAGATGATCTGACCAAGCCGTATTTAAAAAAAAAATGTTTCAGATGTATAGCATTATAACCTGACATGTCTATGCACTACAGAGCGATCACCACCACAAGTCTAGTTACCGCCTGTCACCATACAGTTGACCCCCTTCACCTGTTTCACTCACCTCCCAAACACCTATCCCCCAGTAACACTAATCTATGCACTGATCTCTGTATTTATGAGTGTTTTGTTTGTTTGTTGTTTTGGTTTTTTTAGTTTCCACATATGAGTGAAATTATATGGTATTTGTCTTTCTTCATCTGTATTTTGCTCATACACTTATTTTTAAATTGTCTTCAGATTGGCTTTATATTTTTGAAGTTGTATGTGGACTCATCCATTCATTCAGTCAGTACTTATGGGGCACTTGTGTCAGACCCTGTTCTGGTTGCTGGGGTGATTGCTGTGAATAAGACAGACAAGGCTTCTTCAGAGGGAGGAGTCACAGGACTTCTCTGAGGAGGTGACATCTGAGCAGAAACCTGGAGGAGACCATTCCATGAAAGACACACAGAGGTCATGATTGGGCCCCATGGAGCAACTACATGAAGGCCAGTGTCTCCAGAGTTGAGTGGATGAGGGAAGAGTGGTAAAAGATTAAGTGATACCCATTACAACATCTGCCTAGTTTTTCCTGACTTCAGAAGGTGACTCATAGCTATCAGTTTTAACTTAAATTCTTTTTTTTTAATTGAAGTGCAGTTGATTTATAATATTGTGCTATTTTCTGCTGTGCAGCAGAGTGATTCAGTTATACACACATATATACATATTCTTTTCCATTGTGCTTTATTACAGAATATTGAATATAGTTCCCTGTACTATACAGTAGGACCTTGTTGTTTATCTGTTTTGTGTATTATAGTTTGTATCTGCTAATCCCAAACTCCTAATTTATTTCTTCCCATCCCCATTCCCCTTTGGTAACCATAGTTTGTTTTCTATTTCTGTGAGTCTGTTTTTGTTTCATTAATGAATTCATTTGTGTCTTATTTTAGAGTCCACATATAAGTGGTATCATATGATTTTTTTTTCTCTTTCTGGATAACTTCACTTGGAACAACCATTTCCAGATCCATCCATGTTGTTGCAAATGGCATTATTTCTTTTTTTATGGCTGAGTAGTATTCCATTGTATAAATATACAATGTAATATTTATCCAGTCATCTGTTGATGGACATTTAGGTTGTTTCCACGTCTTGGCTATTGTAAATAGTGCTGCTAGGAACATTGGGGTGCATGTATCTTTTTGAATTAGAGTATCTTCCAGATATATGCCCAGGAGTGGGATTGCTGGATCATATGGTAACTCTGTTTTTTAGTTTTTTAAGGAACCTCCATACTGTTTTCCATAGTGGCTCCACCAGATTACATTCCCATCAACAGTGGTGGAGGATTCTCTTAACTTCTTCAAGAGTTATTCATTGACGTTTTCTTGGGCACAGAACTTGCCTGCTGGTCATTCCCCAGGTGAATTATCAGGAACTGATGATATTATCCTGATGTAGCTATCAAAATTAGTTTTTTTGGTTATTGTTGTTGTTGGTTTTGTCTCCTCTAAAATGCCATGAAATTAATTTAATTACTAAGATTCTATTTAAGTAGTAAAATCAGGGTTAGTTTTTAACAGATTCTTTTTACAGAACGGTTTTTCTGAAATCCAAGGACAGCTTCATAATTAAACTGTGTGAGAATGATATGGCTGTTTTCTTATCAAGAGGCTTTGTTCCTAAATATGAGAGGCAGATTTAAACAGATCTATGGTGTGTGATTTTACAGAGCTAATCACAAAAAGACATTGTTTAGGTATACAACCGAAAGACTAAAACTTTTAGGTCAAATTGCTAGTACTTTGAATATTTTAATGTGCAGTTTGAATTTGTGCTGCTTGTGACCTGGTTCATTTTAGCAGTTGTTAGAAAGAGAATAATACGTAGAGAACTTTGAACCTGAAAGCTTTGAAATTACCCTGAGAATTGTTTTTTTTTTTTTTAGTTGAATCAAACTTACCCTTTCCAGTGTAATGTTTTTTTCCTTCTGAAATTATTACCTGTTTATGAGCTTGTGAGTTTCACCAACTTTCTAATTTATTCTCCAATTAAGAAAATTCTCTTTTGAGATCCACCCAGCCATACAAAGCAGTTAAAAGTATGTTAAAGGCTTTGTTGCAAAGATGTGACTTTCTTTCTAATTTATGTTCAGCTTAGTTTTGCTACCATTGCTCTCCAGGTTTTTGATATGCCTGGTTG